CAGTGGCTCCCTTAGGAGTGGTACTGCGTCCCATCTAGCACCGTATTGAGATAGAGCCTGGCAGTAAAACTCCCAAAGGAGCAGTCTATAGAATGTTTCCTAAGGAGTTAGAGGAGAGCTGAGCTCCTCGAAAAGGGTTGGATTAGGCCCAATTCATCTTCATTTGGAGCACTTGTTCTCTTTGTCCCCAAGAAAGAGGGAGAGTTGAGAATGTGCATTGACTATAGGGGTCTCAACGCCGTTACAATCAAGAATGCAGAACCACTGCCCCCAATAGATGACTTTTTAGATCGGGTACATGGCTGCGAGTATTTTACAAAGATAGATTTGAAATCAGCGTACCACCAGATTGAGGTCCACCCTGATGATCAGTGCAAAACGACGTTTAGGACTAGATATGGGCATTATGAGTTTATAGTTATGCCCTTTGGACTAACAAACACACCGACCACTTTCCAGCGTGGTATGAACGATTTGTTTAGGCCGTGTTTAGATAGATTGGTAGTTGTTTACTTAGACGATATTCTGATTTTTAGTAAGACCTTCCAGGAGCATGAGGCTCATCTGAGACAGATCTTGGAGAAGTTGCGCGAGGCAAACTTCAAGATCAACGCGAAGAAGTGTGAGTGGGCCAAGACCAAAATCTTGTACTTGGGCCATGTCTTAGATGGTGATGGTATCAAACCTGAGGACAGTAAAATCGCAGCGATCAGAAACTGGCCAACTCCGCGTACACACATAATTGAGATCGTTCCTAGGATTGGCTAATTACTATTGGAAGTTCGTGAGAAACTTAATTGCTATCGCTGCTCCTCTTCGCAGGTTGCTAAAGAACGAGCAATCTGGAAGTGGGTCCAAGACTAAACTCGGCCCTGAAGAAGCTGAAACGGACCTTTATGAAGTACCAAGTCCTCAAGGTAGCTGATACATCCTTACCCTTCTTTGCTATCGCTGCTCCTCTTCCCAGGTTGCTAAAGAACGAGCAATCTGGAAGTGGGGCCAAGATTGGACTCGGCCCTGAAGAAGCTGAAACCGGCCTTTATGAAGTACCAAGTCCTCAAGGTAGCTGATACATCCTTACCTTTTGGCGTTCCTACTGATGCAAGTCAGTACGGTATTGGTGCTGGTTTGCAACAAGATCATGGCAATGGGTATATAGACCTGTAGAGTTCCATGTCCGCTCTTGTGGTTGAAGACTCAGGCCAAGATGACACCTAAGCTTACGAGGTGGGCCGTAGAGATAGACCAGTTTGACACTGAGCTCAAGCCTGTTAAAGGAAAGTATAATGTGGTTGCAGATGCTCTAAGTAGAAGAGCCGACTACTTTGGAGCTATAGTTCACTATCTGAATATAGGGACAGACTTACAACAAAAAGTCATAGATGCATATGCGCAAGACCCTATCTATAATGACCACTTGAAGAGAGTAAGGGAGGACTCAGCCATTGAACCTGATTTCCGCACCACAAACGGATTATCGTTTGAGAAGACAAACATCGTAGATCGGCTGTGCATTCCCAACGGTGAAGAGATCCGGAGTCTGATTTTTGGGGAATATCACGATACGGAAGGGCACTTCGGCTGGCAAAAGACATTAGCCAACCTGACGCTTGCCTACACGTGGCCTGGCATGACTGCATAGAGTACATGCGTAGTTGCAAGGCATGCCAGCGCAACAAAACTACGACGCGAACCCCATTGGGTCTTCTCAGACCCTTGCCTATCCCTTGAGGTCCCAAAGAGTCTGTGTCCATCGACTTTATGGATGCAGGGGTCAGGAGTAGACATGGCAAGAGCGAAGTCATGGTCATAGTAGACCGTTTTAGCAAATATGCAGTTTCCGTTCCTTTGCCCTCTGAGGCACATACAAAATTAGTCATAGAGAAGTCAGCACGGTATTCCGCTATCCATAGTTGGCGATAGAGATACTCGGTTTACTAGTCAGCATTGGCGGAAACTTATCTGAGTCTATGGCTTGAAGTTGGTTTACTAGTCAGCATTGGCGGAAACTTATCCGAGTCTATGGCTTGAAGTTGTTGATGTCATCTGGCCGCCATCCAGAGACAAACGGTCAGACTGAACGAATGAATAAGATCCTGCAGCAAATACTCAGGATGTACATTAGACCTGGTCAGATCAACTGGGATGAGATGTTCCCTAAAGTAGCTAGCGTCTACAATAACAGTGTCCATCTAGCTACTTGCCGAACTCCCAAGGAGTTGCCCAAGTCCTTTAGACCACGCAGGCCGTTTGAAGGACTCAATCATGACCAGATACAGAGATTACCACCTGGAACTAGAGAGTTTGCACTACAGCATGAGAGGGAAATCGCAAGGGTGACTGACAATCTGAGAAAAGCCCAGCACAAGATGATCGAACATGCTAAAAAGCATCATCGGCCATCGCAGTTCCAGGTAGTTGATTTAGTCTGGGTCAAATCTAAAGAGTTCGCCGCAGAAGAGAACATCTGGCAAAAGCTGTTGCCTGCGTGTAGGGGACCGTGGCCTGTCCCAGAAGTGAAAGGCGGAGAGGACGGACCTTCCTACACAATAGAAGACCACCACATCTCCACACATACCCAGTCTTCCATGCGTCAAAGTTGTTACCTTGTGTCACCAGCCAACAATTTCCATCGTGTCGATCGACGATTCCGCCGGGTATGGATGGCACGTACGATATAGATCGCATTGTGGAAGAGGATGTGTTTTGGATTGGAGGTAGGGGTCGTCCACAGAAGCAGTAGAAGGTCAGGTGCGCTTATCAGGAACCGGAGGACGACCGCTGGTTCACCAGAACCGAGCTTTTAGAGACCGCTCCCGACCTAGTGCACGCCTTGCGTTAAAATATTCTCGGAGGACCTCAAATTTAGGCCGGCAGGAGTGAAACGGTTTTCACCTTTACGGTAGCAGATGCAGTACCCAGGGCTCGATCCCTAGACTTCCCATTCACCCATGTACAGTACCCGTTGACCCACGTGTGTTTGAACCCGCGACCTGTGTGCTGAAAGTCATATGCTCGGCTGTTGTATATAGTGTGGTCGCCGGGCCTTGAACCGTAGGTCTGCGTTTTAGGGGTCTTAGCAGTAGTCTAGGTCCTATCTGCTACAGTACCGAAAGATCAAGCCTACGACCTTCCGAAACTTCCGGAAGTGACCTTTCGTGAGTCTTCGAGTCAGTCCGCGTCTGAGTCAGCAGAGGGCAGTTCTAGCACAGTCAGCAAAGGGCAGTCCTAATCCTACTTATCCCAGTCAGCGGTACCCAGCCCCAGGGTGCACTTTGTCCAGTCAGCAATTACCAGGTGGGACTGTGCACATCCCGGGGCCAGGGACAAAGGGGAGACCTGTGACGATCGAAAGTAAAAATAAAGAGGCAGTGTCAAGCCATGGATTCATTCTGCCTGTGAGCTGTGCGGAAGCGGTGTCGGAGCGTCTTGCACTACGGAGGTCTGCAGGTGCCCGAAAAAGAAGAGGGCTAAGAGGAGGAAGACGCGGCCATAGCCGCTTGTTAGTAGGAGGAAGAAGGCAACCATAGCTGCCGTAGGTTAGAGGCAGAGGTTTTGTCTGTGTGTTAGTGTGTTGTGTGTGTGTCTGTGGGACATACAGGGAGATACAGAGTCTATGCGTGTGTGTGAATATCTTTATCTGGCGCAGTGGCGCCACAGCCATTCAAGACGAGTTTGAATCTGAGCTGTGTTCCTGGTTACGTTTATCTCAGAGGTTTGTGTGGGCGCCATCGCGCCAGCGTGATCACCATCTGTTTGCATGCATGCTGAGGTCAAAGAAGACAAGTCTGCTTGCACTGCCCAACCATAGCCACTATTTTTCTTCTTCTCCTCCTTCCTCTTTCTCTTCTTCTTCTTTCTTCAGAGAGAGAGAGAGAGAGAGACTTGTTCTTCGAGAGAGAGAGAGAGAGAGAGAGAGAGAGAGAGAGATTTCAGGCAGTGACTATCTCGGGCCTATGAGCACCCAGTATCTGCTTCAACATTTTGAGGATAGACATTGGCTGGACATTTGACGGGGAGACTATTTTTGGACGATTACAAGTTCTACTCGTCTTCTTTCCCCTCTCCATCGTCGTCTCTCCTCACCCTTCATCATCCGTGGTTTTCTCCCCATGTGCGTGCACGAGGAGGGATGTTTCCTCCAGGTATATCTCCCTCCTTGCTCACTTGACATGTGTGATGAGTCCGAGTGTGATGAGTCAGGTCATCTCGAAGTCTTCTACCGTGCTACATTGCATCATTTCGTTTCTTGTCTGGATGCACATTGCTTGTTCTTGCTTCGCATTGTGTATTCTGAGTCCTGATCACATTGGCATACCTTCGGTCTTTTGCATCCCTCTTCTTCAGATGAGCATGCATCAGATAGCTTCACTATTGTGAGGTGGCGAAAAGGGTGGGAAGCGCCCGGAGGTAAAAGGGGGAAGGGGAGAAAGATGGTATAATTGACTATTATTTGAGCTTATTCTCCTCCCTTTGTCTTGACTCTGGTCTCCTTACTATCTCTTTGCAATTGTCATTCTTTGAGCATGGCATGTCCCATGCATGATGTTGATGGTGTGAGCTTCTTAGAACTGGGTTATCGCAAAGAGACAAGTTTGGGATGTGTTTGGGTCCCTTGTTGTTCTGTATGCTAGTTAGCATTTCATATTCTAAGTAATTTGGCGATGGTCATTGCCTTGTTTGGCCGGAGACAAGTTTGGGGTGTGTTTGGGTCCCTTGTTGTTCTGTATGCTAGTTAGCATTCCATATTCTAAGTAATTTGGCGATGGTCAATGCCTTGTTTGGCTTTTCATTTTGCTGTCAAATTTCAGGTATGTAGCAAATAAAGGGAATGGCGGTGAAGAGGCATTCCAGTCTTCACTTGGGAAGGGGCTTCTTGTAAATATGTGTTGGCGAGAGTATGTGGGCCGTAGCACTGTCACTAAGGGCGATGATACAGGGGCGTCAGCATCTTTTCCGCAGGAGAATAGCAGTCTGAATGCAGAGCAAGTGAGAGAGCGGGACAAAACTCATGCGGTCTCGTTATCAAAGGATAGGAAGGAAGCCATGGAGAGCAGTTCATTTGATGTTAGCAGAGGAGGCTTGCATCAGAGAGGCGCAGGTGATGTTGGCGGTGGGGGGCAACGCCTGGTGGCGAGCGGACAAAGTGGCATGTCAACCACGGCCACTGTTCGACGCATGCCTCCTGGCTGGTTTCGAGAGCTGGGGGATTGGATTTTGAACACTGTGTCTACAATAGGTGCTCGTCAGAGGTCGTTTCTTCGTGACTTTTGGGCAGAAGTGGCATCTGAATGCAAGGCTATGGTGGAAGAGTCTAACGCAGGGGATATTAACAGCAGAACGACAAGTTCTGGCAAGGGTGATGATATCTTTCTACGCATCGGAGTGTTTTATGAACGTCTAGGGAAGCAGAAAGGACTTCGCGGTGACAGAGAAGGAAAAGAGGACAGTGTGATGATGTTTGCTGTGCAGCCTTTGGTGGCTAGACTTCTTCCAGTAGTGATGCGGACGGTAGGTAAACCCTTGGGACTTTCTCTATTGGTATGCAACGCCAAGCTTGATGTATTCTCAACTTTTCAGGGATTCTCCTGCTTCTAATTGACAGCTGTCCGGCGGATGTTTGAGGAGTTCCAGAACGCCTTTTGAGCATGCCAGGGTATTCACACAGTTGTCGATTATTTGTTCTCCCTGCATCCCTCCTTTCCTTCCTTTCCCCTCCCCCCCCTCTCCAACACATTTTGGTTGCTGATTATTTTGGAACGGCAACTCTCCTTTGTCTTCAAGCATCCCTATCCAACACATTTTCGTTGCTGATTATTATGCTATTGCAACCCTCCTTTGTCTTCATGTGTTCATAGAGTCATGCAGAAGCACTCGGATTGCTGGCCCGAATCGTGCGCTGCTATGGCCCTGGGAGCTTTGATGCTGCTGTTGCTGCTGCCACCACTCCTGTGCCAGAAACAACAGAAAGTGGCGTTGTGCCAGTGGGCCATTCCAAGACCCAGTGGTTTGTCGCCAACGTCTTGGTGGGCTGGTGCCTTGCGAAGGGCGAAGGAGATGAAAGTGTTGGAAACTATCCTCTCAGTCCAGCGGACAGGACAAGGATTGATCTCATAACTGCTTTTGTGCGATACCCAGACATGATCGAAGTCTGGGCATCTGTGGTGCAACGCCTGACTTGCTGGGTTGACGAGCAGAGCATGGTCGTGCAACCAAGGAATCTGGCAGTTCTCTCCTTCCTTTTGGAAGGAATGGTGAAGGAAGCACAGGGGATTGAGAAGTTGGTAAAACCATTGGAGGATTCTGTGGTTTCCACAGAGGTTCAGAAGAGGCTGGATGATCTGGCTATCAGAGTAGCTGGGAGCTCACTGCTGACATCAGAAGCCAGCACAAACATACTAAGGTGAGAAGGTATCAAGAGCCTCAATCATAATGCCAGAATGGTTATGGCGTCATCACAATTCATCTCATGCAGCATGCACTGCAATCAACTCCCGTTATAACTCCACTACGAGAAGACAACTCCACTACGAGAAGACACAAGTGATCTGGCCAAGGACATGAGTCTCCAGAGCTCGCAAACCTTTACCTCGTTTGTCACCCAATCCTGGCCCGGGCAAGTTCTTGAAAATATTCTCGATCTGTACGCAATCCGTATCTACTATCGAAAACATTTCTAACTGTACCCAGCCCATACCTGGGCTTTCCCCGATTTTCCAACCCGCGGCTCGCCTGGGGACCCGGAAATTTTTCCAACCGCACTTGACGCGGCTAGGTTCCACAGTGAACCCAGCCGTTGCCACCTGATGCAACCTACGCTGTAACTGTGACCGCCTGGAAACACTCATGCCCCACATTTGCCCACCTGGAACCCACGTGGAAACACTCTGGAAACGCTCATGCCCCACATTTACCCACCTGGAAAGTGCAGCCTACGCTGTAACTATGCCCACCTGGAAACACTCGCGCCCCACATTTGCCCACCCGGAATCACTCATGCCCCCGACTCACCCGCGACCCACCACTGCCTACCTAAACGCACCCATGTTTTATGCCCTCCGTTTCATGTGGCCTCCATGAAATGGCAACCATTCTCGTTGCTGCATAAAACTAACGTTATCACCTCAACCCGAAGGATGAGTAAAGCCTTCAGCTGTGAATCAGGAAAGCCTACCATCTTGACCCAAATAGAGCGGCTAGTCACTATAGCTGTATTTGGCCCACTTTCAGCTTAGATAAAGTGAGAATGACCATGTATTTCATGTGGGCGACAAGTCTACCCGTGGCGGATGAACGCAGACATGTGTCTACCCAGCCCCTACAGCAGCTAAGCTCTGGATGTGATCCCTGTCAGATTCATCCGTTCTACAGTGCCTAAGGTCATAGCAGGTGAGTGGGTGTGTGTGAGAGAGGGAGATGGGTCGAGTGTGAATGCAACTCCCCCAGTCTTCACGCACATCACTGCTGTGAGAGAGTGCATGAGCTGGTGCACTTCGCCACGCCCCACGAACCTGCCTGTTGCGCTTTGGGGCCGAGTTTGAACGGGCCGCTCCACCTCTTCATGCACAACATCGGTGTGTGTGTGTGAGAGAGAGAGAGAGAGAGAAGCGGGGGGGGGGTGCACTTCGCCATGCGCCATGAACCTGGCTGTGTGTGTGTATGTGCGAACACACACACACACACACACACACACACACACACACACACACACACACACACACACACACACACACACACAGAGAGAGAGAGAGAGAGAGAGA